ACTTTTTTAACTTTTTTTTTCTTGTAAAGTGAGTTTCTTTTGTATCATTGTGATCTGGGCGGTGATTGGGTGGGCCGGCTGGTGTAGTGGGTGGGCCGGCTGGTGTAGTGGGTGGGCCGGCTGGTGTAGTGGGTGGGGAGGCTTGTGTAGTGGGTGGGGAGGCTGGTGTAGTGGGTCGGCCGGCTGGTGTAGTGGGTGGGCCGGCTGGTGTAGTGGGTGGAGCGGCTGGTGTAGTGGGTGGAGCGGCTGGTGTAGTGGGTGGGCCGGCTGGTGTAATGGGTGGGCCGGCTGGTGTAGTGGGTGGAAAGGCTGGTGTAGTGGTGGAAAGGCTGGTGTAGTGGGTGGGCCGGGTGGTAGTGGGTGAGCCGGCTGGTGTAGTGGGTGGGCCGGTGGTGTAGTGGGTGGAAAGGCTGGTGTAGTGGGTGGAAAGGATGGTGTAGTGGGTGTGGGGGAGGCTGGTTGTAGTGGGTGGGGCCGGCTGGTGTAGTGGGTGGAACGCTGGTGTTAGTGGGTGGGCCGGCTGGTGTAGTGGGTGGGCCGGCTGGTGTAGTGGGTGGGCCGGCTGGTGTAGTGAGTGGGGCGGCATGTATGGATAGTAATGGATGGTTGGTGGGCTTGGAGGAATCGAGGTTATTTGGGTGGGAATGGGTGGCGGGGTGGTCCGAGATTGTTAGAAGTGGTGGGTGGGACGGGCCGAGGACGGAGGGTGGGCCAGAGGTGGGTAGTGGGTGGGCCGGGGAGGACGGAGGGTGGGCCGGGGAGGGCATATAGTGGGCCCTGGGCAGGAGCGAGGCCGGGGTCCCTGCTGAAATGTTTTGTGTTGAGGATGGGGAACCAGGTCACACAATGGCAGAAACATGTGTAGAAGCTGTTGTGGACCTCCCTCCCTGCCCCCACCACCTTCCCCTCACTGTGGCTACACTATTCCACGTCTCTCTATCCCTCCTTCACCTCTCTATCCCTCCCTCACCTCCCTATCCCACTCACTATCACTCTCCTGCAATCCACAAATAATTTCAAAGTTCTTTCCATTCTACTGTTTTGCTCACTTCTCCATTTACACGTGGAAATAAGGACCCATTTGGTAATGGAGTCACAGAGGATTGCATGGTTGGCTATCTGTCACTCAACGTGATAGCAGGGGTCGACTCAGTCTCTGATATGTTAATAAGGACACTAAGTGCTTGGGAGCTAATTTCTATGAGTGTATAGGTTTTCAGTAACTATTTTCAGTAACTAATTTTCAATAATTTGTTATTTTTCTATCTTATAACGCAAACTTAGTCTCAGACGCAGTGTAGATTAATCCTAATTACCTTCATCGACCGAGAGATTGCTATCTAGATAACCCATGGGAGATATCACACTCTACAATACATGAACCCACTAATAAAACACTGAAAAGATATCTTTGAGGTTAACACAAGAGTCGTACTTTCATAGTAATGACCTCTCACTATAACAATCTCAAGATATCAACAACAATCTCATATGAATTAGGCTATCATACCCTCGAAATACTCCTCAGGTAGAGAGGATGATCTTCGTAGCCTGACTGCTCCAGTATATTTATAATCATTAATCATCCGATGATTAATTATTATAAATATAATTGGTTAGACTGAGGAATTAACAATTCAGGTTAATATTGAATGGGGGGAAACAGAATTTACATGAGATTGAAAATGATTTTTGAAGTCAATCAATTGGCCAATTGACCAATCAATCAACAAATCAATATACCCCACCAAACTATTGAACCCCACCATTGACCCCAACCAGTCATTAACCCACACAAACCCACTTACCCCTTCCAACCCATACTGACCCCCTCAGGAACCCATAGACCCCCCACCCACATTGACACCATCGACCCATTATAACCCTATATCCACCCATAACCCCCACTATCCACACCTGACCTCGCCCACCCACACACGAACCTAAAACCCAGGGGTCAGGGAGACAAACGGCAACCCTTTTTCTCTTCCCCCCTCCCTACCCCCCTTCCTACCCCCCCCCACCTCCCCTTCCCCCCCTCCCTCCTCACCCTCCCCCCTCACCTCCTTAGGGTGTAAGAGGGACGGAAAAAACAAAAGCGCACGTGTCTTTCTCATTGTTGCCTCCCGGAGGGTGACGCACACACACGCACGCACGCACACACATACAACACACACACACACACACACACACACACACACACACACACACACACAACACGCACGCACGAACACACACACACACACAAACACACACCGCAAACGCACACACACACCACACCACACACACACGCACACACCACACACACACACGCACGCACGCACGCACACACACACACACACAACACACACACACACACACACACCACACGCGCACGCACGCACGCACACACACACACACCACACACACACACAAACCACACACGCACACACACACACACACACACACCACAACACACACACACACACACACACACACGCAACACAACACACACACACACGCACGCACGCACACACACGCACACACACCACACAAACACACAACACGCACAAACACACACCACACACACACACACAAAAACACACACACACACACACACACCACACACACACACACACACCGCACACACACCAAACACACACACACACACACACACACACACACACACACGCACACACGCACACAATACACAGCTGGCATTTCCAGCACAAAGTTTTACCAGTTAACAGTATCAAGGACAATACTGATTAACAACTTAATTAATAATACGAGGACAATAATTATAATTATAAAACTGCAAATGATTACGGAATCTATAATATTCAAAACTTCATGGGGGTCTAATAGCCCTATAATAACAACATTGGTTATATGTATAAGGCAGGGTGACCTGTTTCCCCCCTGGGTATATGACTCCGTGTAGACTACTATGACAATTGCACCCAACACGTCACGTTTGATAAATGCCGTAGGAGAGATCCGGGACTCGAATTTTGTAGAGGAGAAACAGCATAGATGGAAGAAAGGAGAGAGGGAGTGAGAGAGAGTGGGAAGGAAGAGACGGGGGTGGGAGAGACAGGGGAGAGAGAGAGAGGGAGAGAAAGAGAGAGAAAGAAAGAGAGAGAAAATGGGGTTTCTCGAGAGCAGATTTTAAAAAAATATTCATTTTTTTTTCTAACACGAATCAGTCGGAATAACCCAAAATAACCAATTGAAAGGAAACTGATTTTAATACTAAACCGAACATGTAAGTTTTCAAGATTACTGCACAGAAATCTATTGACTTCTGTTCAGTTGTCGGTCTGTCATAGCTGTAGCGCCTTGACGGCTCTGCCGATTTCTACGAAAATTAAACCATTGCTTTACCATGATATTTACAAGTGATACATAGAGGGAGGGAATTATCATGGGAAAGCGCCAAGTCATTACGACTAAATAGCACTTGGAAGGGGTCAGGATAAGGATTTGGGATGGGACGGGGGGAAAGGAATGGTGCCCAAACACTTGGACGGTCGGGGGATTTGAACGCCGACCTGCATGAAGCGAGACCGTCGCTTTACCATCCAGCTCAAGTGATAAATAGAAACTTGCGAAATAGAAAAATAGAAAATAAATAGAAAAATCGAGCCGAAGGAGATGACTAGAATATTTAAAGAACAATTCAATATTTTCTGACCTGGATTGGTTAATGGTGGAAATTATAATTTTTTAATTATAATTATAATTATAATTAAATTATAAATTTAATTATAAATTATAATTATAATTTTTAATTAAAATTAAAATTTTCTTAAATATGTATATTATGTTAGTTCATGACCCTCCTCTCTCTCCTCCTACGACCAAGACAGTTGAATGGATCAGTCAAGTGAATACCTATTATGGGGATTTACTCGGCGTCGTTCAATTATAGACTTTAATTACAAATTTCCATCTGACGTTAAAATGCCGAAGAACTTATCATTTAATCCAAGTGTTTCTCTTAACCGCCGACATTCCTTTGCTGTTTGTTTTGTCTAATAAACAGGTTTAGGTTAGGTTAAATTTGGTTAGAATAGGTTATCTTGTTATCTTGAGGTTATCTTGGGGTTATCTTGAGGTTATCTTGGGGTTATCTTGTTATCTTGAGATGATTTCGGGGCTTTTAGTGCCCCGCGGCCGGTCCTCGACCAGGCCTCCACCCCCAGGAAGCAGCCCGTGACAGCTGACTAACACCCATGGTACCTATTTTACTGCTAGGTAACAGGGGCATAGGATGAAAGAACTCTGCCATAGTTCTCGCCGGCGCTGAGATCGAACCAGGAAACAGGACACAAGTCCAGCGTGCTGTCCGCTCGGCCGACCGGCTCCCTAGGGTACGGTAGGGTAGGTTAGTGTAGGTTACAATAGACTAAATTTATATTGGTGAGGTTAGGTTAGGTTAGGTTAGGTTAGGTTAGGTTACAATAGACTAAATTTATATTGGTGAGGTTAGGTTAGGTTAGGTTAGGTTAGGTTACAATAGACTAAATTTATATTGGTGAGGTTAGGTTAGGTTAGGTTAGGTTAGGTTAGGTTAGGTTAGGTTAGGTTACAATAGACTAAATTTATATTGGTGAGGTTGGATATACTATAAATATGACCTAAATTTACAATAGCATGTCAAAATTTCTACTTCCAGCAGTTTATAAAACAAATTTCGCTGTTTTCTGGTCGGCCTGCAGAGGTTGTGTTATATAGCAGGGTTACCGGTGGCTGAGCGGACAGAACACCGGACGCGTGATCCTGTGGGCAGAGTTTCTTTCACCCGGATGCCCCCTGTTGCCTAGCAGTAAATAAGTACCTGGGAGTTAGTCAGCTGTCACGGGCTGCTTCTTGCGGGTGGAGGCCTGGTTGAGGACCGGGCCGCGGGGACATTAAGCCCCGAAATCATCTCAAGATAACCTCAAGATATACCACTGTAGCCATAGACACCATCGCACCCATCACCATTTTCTCAAATGGTACATCAAAGTTCCCCAATGGCCGAGGTCACTCTTGAGCACCAGTTCACCATTCTTAGATTTCATTGTAAGTAAAATAGAGAAGTGACTTGTACGAATGGAGTTTAATTTGGTTTCATTCAAGTTTTTTTTTAATACTTGTGATATTGCGGTTGTTATCTTTCATGGCTTATAGTTTGCTGTTATCATGGCAGTAATTATTGTTATTTATTGTTATTATTGTTGTTATTGTGAGCATGTGTAGAGAAGGACTGTAAACAGAAGGAAAACACTGCAGGAGAAGGGACTCAAAATCTTGGCCTAAATTGTTTACACTGACCGGGACTACAGCTGGGAGACAACGACGCTTGATGTCTTTGGTGGGGGGGGTGGTGGGCTGGTGGTTGGTGGGGGTGGTGGGCTGGTTGGTTGGTGGTGGGCTGGTTGGTTGGTGGGGGTGGTGGGCTGGTTGGTTGGTGGGGGTGGTGGGCTGGTGGGCGGGGGAGGTAGGCTGGTTGGTGGAGGTGGTGGTGGGGGGGGTAGAAGTACTCCACTAGTAGTGCTAGCTCACTTGTACTCACGTAGTTCTACTCACCCAAGTGTACTTAGTTGTACTCACGTAGTAGTTAGTTTCGTTCACATTTATTATGCACCCCATACCCATCCTGTGGAGCGGTAGTGGAGAGGGTTACAGAGGCACATAATGGGCTCAGGGACTGAACCCACAATTCATTAAGCTAAACAAGTTATAGTCTTGATAATCAACTTACACGATTTAACAATTATATATATTATAGATATATATATATATAGATATATATATATATATATATATATATATATATATATATATATATATATATATTAATATATTATATATATATATATATATATATTGTCCTCAAGAATTGCACGTCAAACTCGTGGAACTAAGGTAAATACAATCAAAACATGTTTAACATAGACGCCAACAGTCTAATCACAGCCCTTTAACAACCACAACGAGTGAGAGTTTTAGTGGTTTAATTTGTTTTTGACCCCATTCCCATCATGGGGGTGAGAGGCATATGGGTTTCAGTGACAGAATGGCTCCACAAACTGACTGTGTGTGTGTGTGTGTGTGTGTGTGTGTGTGTGTGGTGTGTGTGTGTGTGTGTGTGTGTGTGTGTGTGTGTGTGTGTGTGTGTGTGTGTGTGTGTACTCACCTAGTTGTACTCACCTAGTTGTGTTTGCGGGGGTTGAGCTCTGGCTCTTTGGTCCCGCCTCTCAACCGTCAATCAACAGGTGTACAGATTCCTGAGCCTATCGGGCTCTGTCATATCTACACTTGAAACTGTGTATGGAGTGAGCCTCCACCACATCACCCCCTAATGCATTCCATTTGTCAACCACTCTGACACTAAAAAAGTTCTTTCTAATATCTCTGTGGCTCATTTGGGCACTCAGTTTCCACCTGTGTCCCCTTGTGCGTGTTCCCCTTGTGTTAAATAGACTGTCTTTATCTACCCTATCAATCCCCTTCAGAATCTTGAATGTGGTGATCATGTCCCCCCTAACTCTTCTGTCTTCCAGCGAAGTGAGGTTTAATTCCCGTAGTCTCTCCTCGTAGCTCATACCTCTCAGCTCGGGTACTAGTCTGGTGGCAAACCTTTGAACCTTTTCCAGTTTAGTCTTATCCTTGACTAGATATGGACTCCATGCTGGGGCTGCATACTCCAGGATTGGCCTGACATATGTGGTATACAAAGTTCTGAATGATTCTTTACACAAGTTTCTGAATGCCGTTCGTATGTTGGCCAGCCTGGCATATGCCGCTGATGTTATCCGCTTGATATGTGCTGCAGGAGACAGGTCTGGCGTGATATCAACCCCCAAGTCTTTTTCCTTCTCTGACTCCTGAAGAATTTCCTCTCCCAGATGATACCTTGTATCTGGCCTCCTGCTCCCTACACCTATCTTCATTACATTACATTTGGTTGGGTTAAACTCTAACAACCATTTGTTCGACCATTCCTTCAGCTTGTCTAGGTCTTCTTGAAGCCTCAAACAGTCCTCTTCTGTTTTAATCCTTCTCATAATTTTAGCATCGTCCGCAAACATTGAGAGAAATGAATCGATACCCTCCGGGAGATCATTTACATATATCAGAAACAAGATAGGACCGAGTACAGAGCCCTGTGGGACTCCACTGGTGACTTCACGCCAATCGGAGGTCTCACCCTCACCGTAACTCTCTGCTTCCTATTGCTTAGATACTCCCTTATCCACTGGAGCACCTTACCAGCTACACCTGCCTGTCTCTCCAGCTTATGTACCAGCCTCTTATGCGGTACTGTGTCAAAGGCTTTCCGACAATCCAAGAAAATGCAGTCCGCCCAGCCCTCTCTTTCTTGCTTAATCTGTGTCACCTGATCGTAGAATTCTATCAAGCCTGTAAGGCAAGATTTACCCTCCCTGAATCCATGTTGGCGATTTGTCACGAAGTCCCTTCTCTCCAGATGTGTTACCAGGTTAAGACCTCTGGAACCTCTTGTTGAGTTCCTCACACACCTCTTGTCATTCTCTGTATACCTGTCCTCGCCTGTTCTAAGTTTCAATACCTGTTCTTTCACTGTTGTTTTCCTTCTGATGTGACTGTGGAGTAGCTTTGGTTCAGTCTTGGCTTTGTTTGCTATATCATTTTCAAAATTTTCTCTGCTTCCTTCTCACCCTGACGTACTCATTCCTGGTTCTCTGGTATCTCTCTCTGCTTTCTGGTGTTCTGTTATTCCGGAAGTTCCTCCCACGCTTCTTCTGTGGGTGTGTGTGTGTGTGTGTTGTGTGTGTGTTGTGTGTGGTGTGTGCGTGTGTGTGGTGCGTGTTGTGGGTGGGTGGTGTGTGCGTGTGTGTGCGTGCGCGTGTGTGTGTGTGTGTGAGTGTGCGTGTGTGTGTGTGTGTGTGTGTGTGTGTGTGTGCGTGTGTGTGTGTGTAGGTGTGGGTGTGTGTGTTCCCCCCCTCACCCCCCCCCGCTCTGTTAGACCAATCAGGATGCGTGGTTCTAAACAACTGTCTGTCATAGGCTAGAGAAGAGGGACAGGAGAGGCCACAAGCAGGGAGCACTAACCACCGTCCTTCACAAGGTCACACAGCCACATAGGACAGAAAAGAAAAACAAAGATTTTCTTGTTTTCCTTTGGACAGAAAGTAACACAAAAGTATCGTAAAGTAAACAAAAAAGTATCGTTAAAGTAAACAAAAAGTATCGTAAAGTAAACAAAAGTATCGTAAAGTAAACAAAAGTATCGTAAAGTAAACAAAAGTATCGTAACGTAAACAAAAAGTATCGTAAAGTAAACAAAAAGTATCGTAAAGTAAACAAAAGTATCGTAAAGTAAACAAAAGTATCGTAAAGCAAAACAAAAGTATCGTAAAGTAAACAAAAGTATCGTAAAGTAAACAAAAGTATCGTAAAGTAAACAAAAGTATCGTAAAGGTAAACAAAAGTATCGTAAAGTAAAACAAAAGTATCGTAAAGTAAAAAAAAAGTATCGTAAAAGTAAACAAAAGTATCGTAAAGTAAACAAAAGTATCGTAAAGTAAACAAAAGTATCGTTAAAGTAAACAAAAGTATCGTAAAGTAAAACAAAGTATCGTAAAGTAAACAAAAGTATCGTAAAGTAAACAAAAGTATCGTAAAGTAAACAAAAAGTATCGTAAAGTAAACAAAAGTATCGTAAAGTAAACAAAAGTATCGTAAAGTAAACAAAAGTATCGTAAAGTAAACAAAAGTATCGTAAAGTAAACAAAAGTATCGTAAAGTAAACAAAAGTATCGTAAAGTAAACAAAAGTATCGTAACATAAAAAGGGGGTTAAACAAAAGTAACAAAAAGTATCGTACGGATGCAATAAATGGACAACCGTCAATGAATGAACACTACAAGACCGTAAGAGAAAGTAAAACACGAGGAAACAAAAGTAAGACAAAAGTAGTAACATAAGCAGGGAGGACAACCGTCAAAAGAGAAGCGATATACACAAATTGTTGTTTAGCCAAAGGGACTTAGGCCTGAACATAAGCCTACTGTTCTACCTTACAAAAAAAAAAATTAGTGCCATCAATTGTAAAAACATAAATATTCCTCCTGTCAGTAGTAAACATTACAATGTTTTTAAGAACTTTTAGTGAACATTTAGAGAAGGAATGTAAGGATAAATACAAGAAATAATCGCAAAACGAGAAGAACGAAGCACAGAAAACGGATAAAGAGTAGAGGCAGAAGAGCAAGAAGCAGACGATCAGGGAAGAGGGAAGAAATGGTAATAAAGAAGAGGCAGCTACAGAAATAAGACACGGGATAAAGATGGTGTTGAAGATCGAACTAGCAAATGAACTTTGACCCATAACACCCTTGGCTAATAATCCAGTTACTCCTAAAAAATATATATATCTAAAGATCTATTGTTTAAGAAAGCATTTGAATTGTCTTTAGAATTGCCCGTGATTCCTTTAGAGAAATTCCCTTCGGGCTAACCATAGCTATAATTATTTTGTTAATTAGAATAGTCTTCCCTTAATACACTTGTGTGAGAGTATGTCTTTTGCAAGAAATAATCGATTGAATTATTTTATATAATAATCTTGACCAAAACTATAGTAATATAAAGTAAAAAAGACTAAAAAAAACGTACGCAAGTAAAACCCTTTTTGCTAAAGTATATTTAAAACAATTTCTTACTCTGTAGAAAACGAGGGAACGAAGATCTAGCGAGTCATCTCCCATTTTCTTTGTTTTAATACAAAAAAAGTCCTTCAAAGCGCCGTTTAAATCATCAACATACCCAGAAGACGAGGAAAAACAATCAAGTACGGAGATAAGAAAGAGCCAGGCGATATACTAAGAATAATGCATAAAAGGAGGTGAAAAAAAAGCGAAAACAAAAGAAAACGAGACGTGCGTGTGTGTTGTTCTTTGAGAGCGGGCGACCCACAGGGATGGGGCGCGCGCGCGCACGGCGGCACGCTATTGTTTATTTGTTTGGGGCTGTTATTAGCGGCCTTGTGACGAGTGCTCCGGCCACCGTGGAGATCTCTACTGGCACCGGCGAGG